TTCAGATTAATGCTGCTAAAATCTGGAACAGTCTTCCTGAAGATGTGAGACAGGCCTCCTCTCTGACAATGTTTAAAACCAGGTTAAAGACGGTTCTGTTTAACTGTGCATACAACTGAGGGATTTTATATTTTTATCTTTCTTTTTAATGTTCTGTGATAATTTATGATTTTAATGCTTTCTTGTTTTGTTCAGCACTTTGAATTGCCTTGTGTATGAATTGTGCTATATAAATAAACTTGCCTTGCCTTGCCTTGCCTTAATATGAACATTATTATGGCGGTCAGTTTTCCAAATACATTTGTTGAACCAGGAAGTGCTGTCACTTCCTCCTCTCAGGCAGTTTGGGATGAATGTACATCAATAATCAAATTAGTATTATCCTTACAAGAGCTAATCTATTTGAGCAGGTTTGGGGTTGGGGTCAGTTATTCCACAATGGTGTTTGATTATCTAATCTGTGCTGGCAAATCAACAACTTTTAACTTCTCAAAGATGCTTTTGAATCTCTGTTGGTTGTAATCTATCTCATTAATCTAGGCTACACTCATGAACTTTTTGTATTGTCAACATTCACCAATGTTTGAACACAAGTGAATTTGGCAGGTATCTAATAAAACTGTACATAAAACTGTAATGAACTTTATTTACTTTTGAAGTAAATGTTTGTGAAATGGTCCTTTTACCATTTGATATTAGCACTGGCTAAGAATATTCTCTATTTTTGAAAGCATCTATGGTTGATGCATTTATCTATCTCTATTTTTACACTATTGTGACTCTAAAGCTCGGTTGCAGCTTGAGCAAAGGCATATTTCTAGTTTGTGACTTCTGTCACTTTTAATATCTCTAACATTATTCTGATTCTAATATTCTAGCTGCTCTATCAGAAGGCTAACATTGTAGGGTACTATTTTAACTCTTACGTGGAAATGTGTTTATGAACAACAAAGGAAGTCCAATTCTACTTTTTTACTACTATTTAACATCTACTAAAACGCTACAATACTCACACTTTATCATTTTCAAAGTTTTTGTCTGTCAGATGTCTGAATACTTAACATGTATATTGCATTTGTCACAGTTGTGGTTCTGGTTGTTGCAAAAGCATCAGCAATAGACGTTTTCATTGGCTGGTTCTTGTTCTGCAAATGGCTGTGTCCAATAGATCATCAGATGTCCAGAAGCTAGGGACAAACAAAAACAAAAGAAAGAATCATGAGTATCTGTCTCATTTAGCACTCATCAATGGCATTATTTCAATAATATAAACATCACTCCCCAGTTTTTTCTCTCTCAGATCCTCAGGTCCTCAGGGTCCCCTGAGGGTGAGTCTCAGTCGTCATCAGGTCAGGTCATATTTCGAGAGATGTCATCTTGGACATCAGTAGGGTCCAAGCCATGGTTTTGGTCTCTCCAGATGCACATCAGGATCTCCAGATACAGTCTTTTCACTTGAAGCACATCAGGTCATTTGCGATGCACTTCTGGTCAATGGCGCAGTGTCACAGTTCCTGTACACAGCTTGTTATGCAATAGTTACTCTCTATGGTTAAGTCACTTTGATTCTACTTTAACACAATTTCTATTCATGCTGTTGCTAATGTCCCTCAAACAAAAGCAAGCGCAATGATTCAGTTTACTTCTCTAATTTGTGTTTTTATCAGATCTAATTCTAATCAATGTAATTACTTCACACAGTACAAAATCAACAAATCAAAAGTGTCAGGACAGACGTCAATTAAGTCCATGACAATATAGAATTCAAATGAACATTTCTGGTCTCAAAAAATACTGATTCAAGTGATAGACAATTAAAAATATGTGTTTACATTGGAGTAAACTTTTAAAATGCTTTTTTCTCATGTTCTGCTTTTTCATGTATCTATATGTAAATGTGAATGTGTGAGTGTATGATGTATGTGTGTGTGTGTGTGGTGTGAATTTTGGGGTTGTGTCTCCAGACTCCTCGAACCACCTGTAGGTGTCAAAGGTCACACTGGCTCGATGTAAACAAGCAAAGTGGGCACACTTCCAGATTGCAAAACAACTCACCCACCACTGCCTACAGAAAACCCCACTTTGTGGCCCCGGTCTCACTGCCACCTACGACCATCGGTCTGTAGTGGGGGAGGGGCACACGGAGGTAGCTATGTCGCCTTTACGATCTGCGGCTGGTTGGATGGTGTCTACTCTGGGCCACTGTTCTGATCCCTCAGTGTCCACTCCTGCTGTCCAGTGACCCTGTACAGTGTGTGCCCTTGGTTCTGGAAAACAACCTTATAGTCAAATTAAAAACAACAGAGATTGTGAATGAGATTGTTTTTCTCTCTAAAGTCAAAACAATTTTGGAGCGCTCTTGGCTTTTCAACATGCGCTATGTAAATGAAGATTACTTATTATCTTACTAATGATGACATTTTAAAACCAGAAACTCTTAAAATAAAAAACAAGACTCAAATCTCAAAAATCTTCAAACTTTAAAATATGTATTATGTACTTTTGTACTGTGTTTAATTATTTATGCATTTATCTCAGCATATATTCTACTAATTTAAAATAATTGCAGCATTTTCAAATTAAGTCAATATGAATTGGAGCACATTTTAGAGCCAGTCTCCTCTGCTGTGTGCATCAGCAGCAGGAGCAAGGTCAGGCGTATAGTCAAAACAAAAACAAAAGTCACCACTTGAATGTGAATTGGGTGAATTGGGTACAGTTCAACTTAATAATCCTAATTCCCTCTTTCTTTTTTAGACGAAGTCTATAATCAATAATCACTTTTAACACAGATTCTAATTTAAATGTTTGAAAAACGGCTTTTGTAACTAAAATAAAAACATAAAAACAAACACAACTCACAAAAAGTTAAGAAATAAGCAGCAGATTTAAAAGAATGGAATCTAGAAATATGTTAGGTCTAAAAAAAATTGCACAGCTTTTAGCACTAATATTTGGGTTTCAAAAACATACTAATTCAAAACTTCTATTCACTAAATGGTGTTTAAAACGTTTAACTGTGTCATAACACAATGTTCAATGGCAAATTTCGCAAATTTAACGGAATAACAACTATGAAAAGCCAGAAATCCTAAAGCAGTAGCTTTGCTCTGATTCAGAGCCAGAGCAGCGAAGGAGGGGGCCGTTTCCCCTGACAACGGCAGCAAGATAGAGCGGCGCACACGCACAGGCAGAAAGCAGTGTTTTAGCAAAAATGCAAAAACAGAAAGAAGAATAACTTTCAAGATTACTTTGTTAAGCTAATATAACTGATGTTGTTCTTTATACTTTTGTCATCCAAGTCTAGAAGTGATCACTTTCCACACTTGTAACAAAAGGCACTCTTGTCTTTAACGTTTACGCTTCTATTTTATCGAGGTAGCAAACTAGTTTAAACTCAAAATCTCTTTCTAAAAAACAAAAACAACTGTTGGATACAACCCTCTCATAGCTTAACTGTAGATATAACCCGGAAAAAAATATAAATAACTCACGAAAGCTCTCATAGCTCAACTTTAGATAAAACTCTGCATTCTCCGGTGAACTCGGTTCACGCCAAAAAACAAACTAAAAAACAAAAACTCCCTTATTCTGTATGTAATTTAAACCGTGATCACTGAAATATTGTTGCTTCTTTACTTTTGTCATTTATCAGCCTGAAATTCGTCAGTTTCAAAGCTTTTGTAACAAAGGCCTCTTTAACACATTTCCCTTTTTATTGCTTTTATGTTTACACCATGGTTTCACTTAGGATCCTTCTCTATCTTTTCTCAAAGGGACTCTAACCCCGAGACTTCTTCTCAAAGGGACTCTAACCCCGAGACTTCTTCTCAAAGGGACTCTAACCCCGTCAGGTAGCGAACCTGTTTTTAATCTAATCTGATCTATAGATACATGACATTTGGCAGACCTCAAAACAGACCATAATTTAGTTCACTCAATTAGCAGACTTTGAATAAACAGGTGTCCGCTCTTACCTTTTGTTGAACAGGGCGCCAGGCACCGTCAGAAGTCCACCAAATATCAGCTTTTCCACGTCCAACCAGGTCTCCAGATCATGAACCAGCGCTCACTAGTACCGGGAACTAGTTTCCATCGGCAGAGACCAATCGCACGTCAAAAATCCCCGGAATGTGGACATGGGAAAACAATTTTAAACGCTCAGTCCAAAAAACAGGACACAAAAAAATATAGTGAGAGAGCGAAAAAGAGTCCCGGAGCCGGTCGCCTCTCCAGCTTGCTGGACTGCTCCCAGGCCTCCGATACTCTCAGCTCTCCCACACCGAGAAAAAGAAACAAAGAAAACTCCCTCAAAACAACCCAGAGAATGGCGCACACTGAGCCGCGCATCCTACACCAAATCTGTCAAGGATGAAGCAGACAGAGACGGATCGTGGTGCGCCAAACTCTGGAAGTTTATTTAAGTTTCTCTCAAGTTCCAATGGTTTACTTTGTTTCTTTCTCTCAGACAGAATAAAGGCAGTACACAGTTTATATAGTCATTGTCACGTCACACATGGAAAGACATACGTGTCACACAGAGACAGTCACATCATAGTCATAACATGGAGTCCTTGTAGAGTCCTTGTACAGTCCTGCACGTAGGCCATATTGCTATCTAATACTAACACCGTGATTCCACGGTAATTGGAACACACCCTCCGGTCCCCCTTCTTGTAGAGAGGGACCACCACCCCAGTCTGCCACTCCATTGGCCCCACCCCCGAGCACCACACTATGTTGCAGAGACATGTCAGAGACAGTCCTACAACATCCAGAGACTTAAGAGTCAGGACGGATCTCATCCCGGAGCCTGGAAGAGGCTGCTCTCGGTGACTTCAGGGAGATGGAAGTATCCGCCCCAACATCCTCAGCCTCTGCCTCCGGGACGGAGGGCGTGACGATTGAGGAGGACGTCGAAGTATTCCTTCCACCGCCCGACATTTCAAAACAATGTCATAAAAATAAGCTATTTTCATCAGTACAGAACAGTCACAAATTCAGGAACATCTGAATGATACAAAAATGGAGTAACTACACTTACTAAAACAACAACCTGTCAAATTGACTGCTCTGGGGGTTCCAGTGTTAATGTGATTCTCTCTCCTGCTTCTTGTTTCTATCTTGTTTCGCTCAGCACTTTCTATGACCTGTGCCATACAAATAACAAACCTCCCTCTCCCCGGCCTCTGTCGCTGCAGCTCTCTGGCAGACGGAGATTGGAAGTGACCGGTGGGAGCGGGGCCTGGACGTGGGGCTGGACGTGGGCCTGGGCGTGGGTTGGACGTGGGGCTGGGCGTGAGGCTGGGCGTGGGGCTGGTGCGTGGGTTGGACGTGGGGCTGGGCGTGGGTTGGACGTGGGGCTGGGCGTGGGTTGGACGTGGGGCTGGGCTTGGGTTGGACGTGGGGCTGGGCTTGGGTTGGACGTGGCTGTCTCCCTGGACACATCTGTAAGCAGTTGCCTTTTCCTGTCGATGTTCTGAGGAGTCTGGAAGGGTGTCACGCCAACGCTGACCTTATTGTGCCCCGTGTGTCACTTAACCTCCATGTAAGATGTCAGCCTCCCCCCCACACACGCCCCCCACCTCCATCCACCCCCCCTGACCCCGGCACATGCACCGTCTCAGAGTTATAGAGTTATATACGACCCGAGGCCGAGCAAGTTCAGGGCGAGAGGAACAGCCCGAGGCCAGGGACGAACGTGAGGTCTGGAAGGTCTGGACGGTTCTCAAACACTTTTGTTTTTTCATTTGGCTGTTTTAAGATTAAGATTCTTTCTTCTTGAGGTGCTTTATATGTCCCACGGTGAGGAAATGTCAGTGTTGCATCACAAATTACAGAGCACACAGCACAAGATAAATGAACTATAGCTATACTAATTAAAATAAAATAAAATCTCTAACTCTAGCATCAAAGAAACTTGAAAAAAATCTCTATTTAGAATAAATCTATAGCTTTAGGTTAATAAAGAAGCAAGTGGGCGGCACAGTGGGTAGTGCTTGTGCTTCACAGCAAGAAGGTCCTGGGTTCGATTCCACCTCCAGGTCTTTCTGTGTGAAGTTTGCATGATTTCCCTGTAGGTTTCCTCCGGGTGTTCCAGGTTTCCCCTGCCACTACAGACATGTCCAGGTCTGATGTGCACCTCAGAATAGAAAATAAGGAAAACCTAATGACTTACTGATTATAAAATACTGTATATAATAGTACACGATAAATATATGAGTATGTACAGTAAACATGTTAGAGGGAGGGTCTGAGGGCAGCGGTGATGATCCAGGACATTCTAAGACTTCTCTGGACAGTAGTCGTCCTGCTCCCTTCGTGATTTCCTGAGTCTCTGATCAGTCGTTGGTAAATCAGCAACTCTGTAAAGTCCTCTGATCAGACAGCTGGTGTTACAGAGGGTGAAGATCAAAGCGCCGTCTTCAGCATTAAAGCTAATACTGCAGTGATGTCACACTCTGGTCAGCCCACTCCTGGTATACAGGCCACGGCGATGCTAACATGCTAACAATCAAGCTAACATGCACCCATACGAATACATAACACCCAAGCCTGATCAGAGCAGAGTCAGAGCGAGAGCCAGACAAGCAGAGTTTGTGGCAGTAAAGTGTGGGTTTAAAGAAAATCGAAGGATTTAAGAAGAAAAAAAGTTCAGGATGACAAGGTACACTAAAATCTACAGAATCCTTCTTATGAAAGCTGTAGGCTCTCTGTCAGGTTCTCTGTCAGGTTCTCTGTCAGGTTCTCTGACAGGTTCTCTGTCAGGTTCTCTGTAGGTTCTCTGTCAGGTTATCTGTAGGTTCTCTGTCAGGTTCTCTGTCAGGTTCTCTGTAGGTTCTCTGTCAGGTTCTCTGTATGGTTCTCTGACAGGTTCTCTGTCAGGTTCTCTGTAGGTTCTCTGTCAGGTTATCTGTAGGTTCTCTGTCAGGTTCTCTGTCAGGTTCTCTGTAGGTTCTCTGTCAGGTTCTCTGTATGGTTCTCTGTCAGGTTCTATGTCAGGTTCTCTGTAGGTTCTATGTAGACTCTGTCAGGTTCTCTGTCAGGTTCTCTGTCAGGTTCTCTGTAGGTTCTCTGTCAGGTTCTCTGTAGGTTCTCTGTCAGGTTCTCTGTAGGTTCTCTGTAGGTTCTCTGTCAGGTTCTCTGTCAGGTTCTCTGTCAGGTTCTCTGTCTGGTTCTCTGTATGTTCTCTGTAGGTTCTTTATCAGGTTCTCTGTCTGGTTCTCTGTCAGGTTCTCTATAGGTTCTCTGTCAGGTTCTCTGTAGGTTCTCTGTCAGGTTCTCTGTAAGGTTCTCTGTCAGGTTCTCTGTAGGTTCTCTATCAGGTTCTCTGTAGGTTCTCTGTCAGGTTCTCTGTAGGTTCTCTGTCAGGTTCTCTGTAGGTTCTCTGTCAGGTTCTCTGTCAGGTTCTCTGTATGGTTCTCTGTAGGTTCTCTGTCAGGTTCTATGTGGTTCTCTGTCAGGTTCTCTGGAGGTTCTCTGTCAGGATCTCTGTAGGTTCTCGGTCAGGTTCTCTGTAGGTTCTCTGTAGGTTCTCTGTCAGGTTCTCTGTAGGTTGTCTGTCAGGTTCTCTGTCAGGTTCTCTGTAGGTTCTCTGTCAGGTTCTCTGTCTGGTTCTCTGTATGTTCTCTGTAGGTTCTTTGTTAGGTTCTCCGTCTGGTTCTCTGTCAGGTTCTCTATAGGTTCTCTGTCAGGTTCTCTGTAGGTTCTCTGTCAGGTTCTCTGTAAGGTTCTCTGTAGGTTCTCTGTAGGTTCTCTGTCAGGGTCTCTGTAGGTTCTCTGTCAGGTTCTCTGTAGGTTCTCTGTCATGTTCTCTGTAGGTTCTCTGTCAGGTTCTCTGTCAGGTTCTCTGTATGGTTCTCTGTAGGTTCTCTGTCAGGTTCTCTGTGGTTCTCTGTCAGGTTCTCTGTCAGGTTCTCTGGAGGTTCTCTGTCAGGATCTCTGTAGGTTCTCGGTCAGGTTCTCTGTAGGTTCTCTGTCAGGTTCTCTGTAGGTTCTCTGTCAGGTTCTCTGTAAGGTTCTCTGTAGGTTCTCTGTCAGGTTCTCTGTAGGTTCTCTGTCAGGTTCTCTGTCAGGTTCTCTGTAGGTTCTCTGTCAGGTTCTCTGTCAGGTTCTCTGTAGGTTCTGTGTCAGGTTATCTGTCAGGTTCTCTGTAGGTTCTCTGTCAGGTTCTCGGTCAGGTTCTCTGTCAGGTTCTCTGTAGGTTCTCTGTCAAGTTCTCTGTCAGGTTCTCTGTCAGGTTTTTTTGTCGGTTCTCTGTCAGGTTCTCTGTGGTTCTCTGTCAGGTTCTCTGTCAGGTTCTCTGTAGGTTCTCTGTCAGGTTCTCTGTAGGTTCTGTGTCAGGTTCTCTGTCAGGTTATCTGTCGGTTCTCTGTCAGGTTCTCTGTAGGTTCTCGGTCAGGTTCTCTGTCTGGTTCTCTGTATGTTCTCTGTAGGTTCTTTGTCAGGTTCTCTGTCTGGTTCTCTGTCAGGTTCTCTATAGGTTATCTGTCAGGTTCTCTGTAGGTTCTCTGTCAGGTTCTCTGTAAGGTTCTCTGTAGGTTCTCTGTAGGTTCTCTGTCAGGTTCTCTGTAGGTTCTCTGTCAGGTTCTCTGTAGGTTCTCTGTCAGGTTCTCTGTAGGTTCTCTGTCAGGTTCTCTGTAGGTTCTCTGTCAGGTTCTCTGTCAGGTTCTCTGTATGGTTCTCTGTAGGTTCTCTGTCAGGTTCTCTGTCAGGTTCTCTTTAGGTTCTCTGTCAGGTTCTTTGTAGGTTATCTGTCAGGTTCTCTGTCAGGTTCTCTGTGGTTCTCTGTCAGGTTCTCTGTAGGTTCTCTGTCAGGTTCTCTGTAGGTTCTCTGTCAGGTTCTCTGTCAGGTTCTCTGTATGGTTCTCTGTAGGTTCTCTGTCAGGTTCTCTGTAGGTTCTCTGTCAGGTTCTCTGTAAGGTTCTCTGTAGGTTCTCTGTAGGTTCTCTGTCAGGTTCTCTGTAGGTTCTCTGTCAGGTTCTCTGTAGGTTCTCTGTCAGGTTCTCTGTAGGTTCTCTGTCAGGTTCTCTGTCAGGTTCTCTGTATGGTTCTCTGTAGGTTCTCTGTCAGGTTCTATGTGGTTCTCTGTCAGGTTCTCTGGAGGTTCTCTGTCAGGATCTCTGTAGGTTCTCGGTCAGGTTCTCTGTAGGTTCTCTGTAGGTTCTCTGTCAGGTTCTCTGTAGGTTGTCTGTCAGGTTCTCTGTCAGGTTCTCTGTAGGTTCTCTGTCAGGTTCTCTGTCTGGTTCTCTGTATGTTCTCTGTAGGTTCTTTGTCAGGTTCTCCGTCTGGTTCTCTGTCAGGTTCTCTATAGGTTCTCTGTCAGGTTCTCTGTAGGTTCTCTGTCAGGTTCTCTGTAAGGTTCTCTGTAGGTTCTCTGTAGGTTCTCTGTCAGGGTCTCTGTAGGTTCTCTGTCAGGTTCTCTGTAGGTTCTCTGTCATGTTCTCTGTAGGTTCTCTGTCAGGTTCTCTGTCAGGTTCTCTGTATGGTTCTCTGTAGGTTCTCTGTCAGGTTCTCTGTGGTTCTCTGTCAGGTTCTCTGTCAGGTTCTCTGGAGGTTCTCTGTCAGGATCTCTGTAGGTTCTCGGTCAGGTTCTCTGTAGGTTCTCTGTCAGGTTCTCTGTAGGTTCTCTGTCAGGTTCTCTGTAAGGTTCTCTGTAGGTTCTCTGTCAGGTTCTCTGTAGGTTCTCTGTCAGGTTCTCTGTCAGGTTCTCTGTAGGTTCTCTGTCAGGTTCTCTGTCAGGTTCTCTGTAGGTTCTCTGTCAGGTTCTCTGTCAGGTTCTCTGTAGGTTCTCTGTCAGGTTCTCGGTCAGGTTCTCTGTCAGGTTCTCTGTAGGTTCTCTGTCAAGTTCTCTGTCAGGTTCTCTGTCAGGTTTTTTTGTAGGTTCTCTGTCAGGTTCTCTGTGGTTCTCTGTCAGGTTCTCTGTCAGGTTCTCTGTAGGTTCTCTGTCAGGTTCTCTGTAGGTTCTGTGTCAGGTTCTCTGTCAGGTTATCTGTCGGTTCTCTGTCAGGTTCTCTGTAGGTTCTCGGTCAGGTTCTCTGTCTGGTTCTCTGTATGTTCTCTGTAGGTTCTTTGTCAGGTTCTCTGTCTGGTTCTCTGTCAGGTTCTCTATAGGTTATCTGTCAGGTTCTCTGTAGGTTCTCTGTCAGGTTCTCTGTAAGGTTCTCTGTAGGTTCTCTGTAGGTTCTCTGTCAGGTTCTCTGTAGGTTCTCTGTCAGGTTCTCTGTAGGTTCTCTGTCAGGTTCTCTGTAGGTTCTCTGTCAGGTTCTCTGTCAGGTTCTCTGTCAGGTTCTCTGTCAGGTTCTCTGTATGGTTCTCTGTAGGTTCTCTGTCAGGTTCTCTGTCAGGTTCTCTTTAGGTTCTCTGTCAGGTTCTTTGTAGGTTATCTGTCAGGTTCTCTGTCAGGTTCTCTGTGGTTCTCTGTCAGGTTCTCTGTAGGTTCTCTGTCAGGTTCTCTGTAGGTTCTCTGTCAGGTTCTCTGTCAGGTTCTCTGTATGTTTCTCTGTAGGTTCTCTGTCAGGTTCTCTGTGGTTCTCTGTCAGGTTCTCTGTCAGGTTCTCTGTAGGTTCTCTGTCAGGTTCTCTGTAGGTTCTCTGTCAGGTTCTCTGTAGGTTCT